ATCCGCACAGGAGTGTTTTTAAAAAACTTTTGATACTATAACTTATACAACGTGTTGTATTCATTTGATCTAAGTTTTGAATATTCAGTGCTCATTGGTAGGTCCTCTGATATGGCTTGTTCTTTCTTTCCTATCAAACATCTATTGCCCTCATCTACTCCATATTTTTCTGCTTGTTATTCAGATCTGGTAACGCCTCTAATATTAGGCACTTTTATAACCTTATTGTGTTGCAAGAGCCAAAAAATTATTACTAAAAGCAAAACGTTCTAAATACATATTACCTTACTCTGCCCCTACACAGTCGTTTGAAAGAACTTGGCTCTATGGAATTTAAAATCCGTACGAGCTCAATTCTGTTAGAGAATGACCATAGAATGAGGGGCCCTCACCGCTGGCTTAAAAACTGATGTTCAACAGTAGGTGACTGGTGGGGGGTCTTGTATGCTACCGGTTCTTTTCATCGCTGCTATTGTCCGTATCTTGGGACAATTAACGAACAGCGGGTTGACCTAACGATCTTCATTCACTGGATTCCCGCAGTATTTTTCCGTATTTCAAAATATGTCTGCTATGAGCTCACTAAAAGATATTATGGCTTTTGCCGTCAAACAAAGTATGTTCCTTATAGTGCGGTGTTACATGTAATAATGACGCCACACAACACCACACCACACCATACCACACCATGTACTGTACTGTACTGTACCGTACCCCTATGTCTTTCATAGCTAACATTGTTGACCTAGTTCCCTGGCGTAATGATAAGGCTCTTCGCCGTTTTACGGAAAACACGGACACGTCAATTCGATTGTCGTGATATGGTGTATCCCAATCAGCCCAGATTAGCCCATTACAGACAGCCTGTTGACCAACTCGTCTAAATTTGTTGATTGGGCCTTACGCATTGGTTATAATAAACACAGTACCACTTTCCTTTTCATTTCTTTTGCTGTTATTTAAAGTTTGTCTTGCCATTTTACTTACTTTACTTTTTACTTTTTCACCCTCTGTTGTTGTTAAACGTCGAGCGGAGATGCAGTTTTCTATAGTAGGCCAACTCCGTAACTCTTTCAGTTGTGATATTATATTAGTTTCTCAGAGTTTCCTTGACTCCCTCGATCCACCTTTTGCCTGGCCTTCCTCTTCGTTTATAGAATGAGTGCTGGTGTTGTAGGCTGTCGAGGCTGGCTGGCCAGGTGACATACGTAACTGTTGGCCAAACCAGTGTATTCTCTGTCTTTCTATGTAATGCAGGCAGGACTCAACTCCGATAGCTGCTCTTACTTCTTCATTTCCCTGCCTGTCTCGTCCTGTGAAGTTAAGGGTTTTGCGGAGATATTTCATTTCGCATGCGGTGATTTTGCTTTCATGGGTTTTACTTAACATCGGGTCTGGCACTGGTAGCATAATGTTGGTATGAATATTGAGGTGATAAGCTGTCTCTTTGTGTCCATGGAGATATTTGGATGAGATAGGAGGGATGCGAGCTAGTATGTGACAACGTTGGCTTTTTGAGTTCGCATTTCTATTTCTCTGTCTATGGACTCGTTTTCAGAAAACGTACGGCCACAGTATTTAAACTCCTTCACCTGTTTCAGTCGTTTACAGTTGACATGCATGTTCAAGGGACGACGGTTTTGGCTCACTTTCATAATTTCTGTTTTTGATGTGCTTATTTTCATGTTAAATTACTCGCAGCTTTTGTTCAGTTCGGTAGTGTGATTTTGGAGGCTTTGTTGGTTTGGATGAATAAGACATTGGTCGTCTACGAATAGAAGAGCAGAGACGGACATGTTCCGACTGCAGTGACCCCAACACTGAGGACAAGGTGTGACACGGTGTGAATAGAAGTTCATTTAAGCTTTCTGGGCTTTGGTATGCGTCTTGCGTTATTGTGTCCATATATATTATAAACAGGAGGGGAGATAGAACACATCCCTATCATACTCCAGATCTTACTTTGAAGCTGTCTGTTTTGCCTTCTTTCGTTCTAACTGAGCCTATGCCGTTAGTTTATAGAGCTTTGACATTATCGAACATTTGTCTTCTGGCGCCGTACTTTTGGAGTGTCTTCCAGAGTTTTGCATTGTTTACCCTGTCAAAAGCCTTCTCCTGGTCTATAAAGACGATGTTGGATTCTTTGTTGTGTTCCACTGTTTTCTCTCATATCTGTCTTGCTATATATCTGCACTAAACGACCTTTATTCTGTCGCGACGCTTCTCATTTCTCAAACGACCAAAGCACACACAAAAGAAGGAATAACGTTTAACTTCTTTTCATGCCAATCATTTCCCCCAGCTTGCACTGGCTACGCTGACGTCGTGTTCGTCGTTGACTCTTCGGATGGCGTCGGACAAGCGGATTACCAAAAAGAACTGGACCTGGTAAAAAACACCGTGAACAAAATGAACATTGGAGACCGCGGCATGCACGTTGGCATGGTCACTTACGGCACCAGTTCGAAGACTGTGTTCAACCTGAAGGACAACCCCACGGCAGCGGCGCTGAACAACGCCATTGGCAACGCTCCATTTGTGGGCGGAACCGAGGGCATGCTGGGAGCTCTGCAGACGGCCAAGAACCAAATGTTCACGCCCGCTGCAGGAGTCCGAGACAAGACGTCGAGGATCGTTGTCCTTGTTTCTGGCGGACGCTCCAATAACGCAGCGCTTACAAAGCTTAGGGTGAGTACTGAGTATTTGGTGCTAAGGACTTTGTTTGAGTAAAGAGAAACACAGACATGATAATGGCTATTTAGAGGAGAGGAAATATTCAAGATCGACAGACAGAAACAAAGGAAAAAAGAAAAGAAAAAAGCTCCTACCAGTGGCACCCCTTGACCACCCATGAGTGCAAGGGAATATACTTATAAGATTAAGTATGTTCTTATGTTTTTACGAGGAGTGTCAGAAAAAATCCCAGAAATGGTGTTGCAAACGATACGAATTTCAAATCCAATCTACAAACTACACGTTTTCCCTTTGGAAGTGCCCCCCCAAGGTCCCTCATGTTCCTAGCCTTTTCTGCAAACGCCTCCATGCACTCATAGAATTCTTTCGTGACCCTCACCTCCAGCTTGGGGAAGAAGGAAATATTACACTAAAGCCAGGTCGGGTTAGTAGGAAGCTTGCTTAATCACAGTGGTGATATGTCTCGGATACTCAGAGGATTGTGAGCTGAGCACATGTCATGTTGAAGCGGGGCCTTAAGTGGAAATGTCCGATGTCGTTAAGGTCGAAGAAAGCAAAACAGTTTGAGTCGAAAGTCCAAGTCACTTTGGTGGCATTCTGCTAGTTCTTGCCACATGGCCAGACGATCAATATGCAGAGAACTCTTGCGACATTTGGTTCTTTCTGTACGCGAGAAACCAAGCGTCTGGTGTAGTGTTTTGGTGCTTCGTTGTTGCACGCAGAAGAACCAAGTTCGATTCAAAGTTGGTGGCTACTTATGAGTATCTCGGTCTTTCAGCTGGGATGTTGTATCCCTCTCAGCCTGAGTTGGCCCTGACAGGCAGGGTTAGAAGATGGCCTTCTAAGTAATCTAATTTTTTTTTTTTTTTTTTTTTTTGGGGGGGGGGGGATGTAAAAACACCTGCAATTGAAATGTAATTTAGTACGTGAGAAGAAGCGAGCGTTATGGCAATAAAACGTATAGCTGCTGCACCACGACAAAGGGCTTGCTCACAGTACCCTGGTCATCCATTAAATCCTGGGTGAGAAGAACGTTTCCTTACTGGAGCAGCCGTCCTCCTTACACTGCCTGACTCTGAGTGATTTTTTGTATTTTTTCCTTGCGCTCAGCAAACAAAAAACAAAAAAAACATTCGTTTTGATTGTCAACTAATGAAATCGAGAATGGCATGCTTAGAATAAACAGAACGCCCATCTCATAAGTTATCTAAATTATGTCGATTGGGGCGTTAAACATCTGCATTAAAAAGACATAATGTTGTCTTCAATGATCCTCTTGGGGATCGATTCCATATCTTTTCTGTGCAGCGGAGAAGATTCTTACCATTACATCCCTGATACGTGTGTTTCTACACCAAGAGTTTTTAATTTTTGTCTAATACGGATTGATGTTTGGAAGAGTTTAAGTTTATTGTATGTTCCATCTGTTGTGCAGGTTACAGCTCCGCTTTTTATTGCCTTGTACTTTATTGAAAACTACGCAATTTGTTTCATAGACAGCATTAGAAAATGCCAGGAGTACTATGTCAGTGAAACACAAAGATGGGAAGATTAAATATTGGATTTGTAAAGGGAAACATGGTACTGCAGATCCGAATATAACTTATTATCGCCGACGGTTAATACATTATTAGACAAAACATTGCCATTTCATTGTTCAATTCGTTTTAACGTTTCTCTTTATAATCCGAACAATTTAAATTCTATAGCAGGCGGGCTGCTTTGACTTGTCTAAAAAGACATAATAATAAAAAAGACATAGCATGTCAACGTAACATTTAGGAAATTTTAAGAAGATCTGATTCTGTGGTGCTGCAGCAAATACTTCTAAATCTATACCAGTTTTTACTTTTCCAGATACACTGTATATCAACAACTTTCCACAAGCTAATTATACATTTTGTCCTAACACTACTTTCAGGCGGACGAGCTTCGGGCCAACGATATCGATGTGTACTCTGTCGGTATCGGAGCCGGAGTGGACATTAACGAGATGAATGGTATCGCCAGCGACCCAGACACACGATATGTCTACACGGCAGACAACTTCGATTCCGCTCAGGCTCTCGCGGACGTCCTGGGACCAAAGATCTGTAATGGTAACATTATGGAAATGGAATATCTGTTTCTTATTTTGGGGATTTGGTAGTAACTGTAATTGCTTTAATTCTTTTGTGTATGTGTTTTACGCCCCCATCAGCACATGTTTTATCCTTTTAGAGACAGGCTTCCGGCTCAGCCTCTCAGGAGCGACCCGGCTGAGAGGGATACAACATGCCACCAGAAAGATCGAAATGCTCTATTATAAAAATGTTCTTCCTGTTCGAGAATCGAACTTGGGTCTCTTGCGTACGACAGCGAAGCGCCCAGTCGCCCAACCACAGACGTTGGCGTTTACTACCCTATAGATTCTCTTTGGGTTATTGATCTATAAACAGCGAGTATCTCTTTCACCATCGGCACAATTTAGACCTTTTAAAAGTCTACTGGAAAACTACAGTTTCTGGGATACTGAATAGACATAAAGACCTGGAACATCTGAGCTCTCGTTAGCAAAATTGAAGGCATAGAGGACAAGGGTAGTCCCAGAGCAACCTACTTGAAGAGCCTAAACAGATAGGTGACGGGGAAGGATCAGGATAATGTAGCTTTTTGGAAGCATCCGAGCAAAGGAATAAACATAGAACCATGATCACGGATGTCTGTGGCAGATCTGTAACTTGATAATGATGATGAGGAGTCTACTTCAACCCTACCCGTCTTCCAGGGCCAAACCATGTTGAGTCGGATACAGCATCCCAACAGAAAAACAGATATACTCAATACAACAGGCTTCCTTTCTCGGGAATCGAACTCACGTTTGTGGCATGCGAAGACAAAGAGCTTAATCTTACAGCACAGATGATGGTCGGGTTCTTTTAGATGTGTCAAATCTAGAGCGGCTTATATAAAGGAAAAAAACAGTGGAATTTCAGTCAAAGCGGCTTATCCCAAACAACCTTATAATGTAGGCTAGACCAGACTTTTTCTTCAAGGTCATCTACAAGTTAGCATTGAAGTTATATTGCACTATTAAATTGAGCACACTTGCTGTTTAATATAGCAATATTTAATGCGAATAATCTTTTCTTTCTATTATTTTCCAGAAATTCCTGAAGATCCAAAGTTCCTGCCACCCCCAACAGGTAAGGGTAACAGTACTTTTTTTCTCTTGCAAAATGATGAATAAAACCGTTCCTTTTCTGGGTCCCTCCTAGATAGTCTCAACTTTCTAAATGCATTTGGTTTTATAAACGCCCGAAAATGCCTTTTTAGTTAATGGATTTGTCCTGCTAATTCTCAATGGATCTTTTCATTCCCATCACTCCCTTATTCAAGGGTGATGTAATAGTGAATGAAAAAGAGGAGAGATAGATAGATAGAGTGAGACAGAGAGAGAGAGAGAGAGACAGAGAGAGAGAGAGAGAGAGAGAGAGAGAGAGAGAGAGAGAGAGAGAGAGAGGGGGGGGGGGAGGAAAGAGAGAAAGAGAGAGAGATAGGAAGGGGATGTGATCTTTTAGAAATTATCAGAAATTCTTTAAAAAATATATATTTAAACGTAAAGACGGAAAGCGAGAAAGAAAAAGACATAACTAGAGTAGTTTACAGAAAAACTGTAAATGTAAACTACTCACAGAACCAGTCACCAAAAGTCATAACTTCATATTCCAGGCTGTCTCCAGAAAGCTGACGTTATGTTCCTGCTCGACTCCTCTTCAAGTATTGGCCAGAACAACTTTCAGAAACTCGAGGATTTCCTCAAGAACACCGTCAAAGACCTTGACATTGGACCCGACAAGGTCAGGGTGGGTATGATGCAATACAGCAGCTACCCATCTCTGGAGTTTCCCCTCAACATGCACGGCTCAAGATACGATGTACTCAAGGCCATTGATCAGGTATGTTGGACTGACAGTGATATCATACTCATCACAATTCACTTATTTCATCCTGGTTTTGAGATATAGTCCGCCAAGAAGGGCTCCCCACCTGTCTCTACTTAAGGCAACCCCCAGCCTATTTTCGGAGTCACTGCCTAAGATGCCATAAAGTCACCTCTTACGACACACTAGCTCAACGTCAGCCATATTCATCCCAAAATAATATATAATAATAATAATAATAATAATTATGATGATGATGATGATGATGATGATGATGATGATGATGATGATGATGATAATGATAATAATATTTATTATTGTCTTTATTATGGTGATTATTATTATTATTAATAATAATAATAATAATAATAATAATAATAATAATAATAATAATAATAATAATAATAATAATAATAATAATATAGTAATAATGATAATAATATTAATCAATAGCTTGTTTAGCACATACCCCCGTTCTAAGGCACGCTCTTACCGCTTTACAATCTATAATATTATTACTCCACCAGACCCTGGAATACTCGGAAACATTCTCAGCTTCCCAGGAAGTATACAGCTTGTCCTGTTTTAAATTTAGGTGTTTTTAGGCCTGCATCAACACACTTCAGGTCATTTAGGAGGAGGGTTTCCAACCCTGTCTGTCAGGGCTATCCCAGGTTGAGAGGGATACTACATTCTAGCAGAAAGACCGAGATGCCAAATACATCATCTCCTCACCAGGTAATCAAACTCGGGTCTCCTGCTTGCGATATCGAAATGCCTAATACCACTTTTGGAGTAATACTGGGTGCCCATTGCGGATGGGATCAGGTCGGGTCTGGTCGATCGCCCGACTCTCGCCAGAAAACAAACACGTTTGCTTTTTTAAGCGGCGAGTTGGGTGCTATCGGTTTGTGCCACGATAGCCGCTAGCGCCCTCAATCTGGATAGCAAACCGCCCCGCCCCTACCAGACCCGATCCCCCGATGGGCACCGCGTATAAACGCTACACATCAGACGCCTGTTAGGTTTTATCTATACATATTATATTTGTGAAAGTTCGTCACTTTGGCCGCTTATAACTTCCGAATCTTGGGAAAGTTCGTATTCTAAGACGCCATTGTAAACAAGTGAGTTTTCCGTTCACTAGCCGTGTGCTCTGAAATTCTGGAGGGTACAACCACGAAAGCGGAATAGAGAATCAATCTGTACATCTCTATTTCTAGACCTAATTTTTTGCATCTCTCAAAATGTATTGCTCCATTCTAGTAGAGTGTAAATATAGGCCAATGACTTCCAGTTGATGTTAATGCACCGATCGTTCCTTTCATCGAAAGGGGGTCCAGCTAGTATAACATAATGACCAAGAAAAAAAACTATATTTTGTTGTGCTCAGGTGAAGTACATGGGAGGTGGAGCAAACACAGCTGACGCCCTGCGCTACATGAGACAGCTCGGCTTTTCTCAGAACAGCGGCGCCAGAGCCGACGTGCCCAGGGTTGCTGTCGTCATCACTGACGGATCCTCTCCCAACAGGTAAGGCACAGAATTATAGGGAGCGCCGTTATACTCAGTGCACAGTGCTTATCTATTTGACTCGAACGGAGCCTGGGCCAGCCACAGTTTCCTGTATGGGCGGAAAAGAGCTATGATTTTGACACAATTTGATCAAGTCCTCAAAAATCGAGTATGGTTGTTTTGGGGGAGATTGTGAAAAATAGCATTGTTTTGTTGTCCCTCCAAAAGGGAAAATCCTGGCCGACACCGACTGGCCCGGAATGAATAAAATGGTTAATGTACAGTTCACTGGATATTAGCTCACTTAGAATCATTATGCGCTGTGATGCACATGACCAGGGTTCGAACTCTTGTGAATGTCTTATTTAGGACGGAGGGGGGGGGGGTATCAAAGCTCTCTGCTTGTTTGGATCAGTCTTATCCTGGACGTTATATTCCCATCAACACCTCATCATCACCTATCTTGTTTATTCAAGACCAGCATTCATTTCTGACAGACAATTTTATAATTTTCTGTCACGTTTCTCAATTGTAGGGAACGACAATTCTAACTGCCTTTACAATCTTTTTCTCGTGTTTCATAAAACGTGGTCAACAGTTTTCAGTAGCTGTTGCATGCAGAAGAAGAGAGTTCGATTCTTCTTTAGATCAGATTTTTATGGAGTGTCTCCGTCTGTCTGTGAGCCCTTACAATGTATCCAGCTCAGCCCTGGTTGGCCCTGACGTGCTCTCTAAATTGGTCGCTTTTAAACACAAGGGGGCTATCCCGGAAAATGCTGTTTTGAGAGAATCGGAGGCAAAGTTTTGATCCTTGTCCATTTTCTTTAAAAGACAAGGAGAGTTTTCTCTATAACCAAACTAATATACACACCTATGAAACCAAGCTTCTCCTATAGGTAGGGCAAGGCCCACTTTTGGTGTAGGTCAAGATTTCTGGAAACCCCCTTAATCTGGGTTAGCCAGATGTGGGCAAAAAGCACTCAACATCGTTCCAATCAATCAATGATTTGTCCCCAGTGCTGACGTGACAGTAGAGGCGAACAATGCCCGCCGGGATCACATCGGGCTCATCTCTGTGGGTGTTGGCCCTAACGTAAACACCGGAGAACTGCAGGCCATCGCAGACGACCCGGACAAAGACCATATGTTCAACCCCCAGGACTACAGTGCTCTCGCTGGACTCAGCAAGAAGATCATTGACGCTGCTTGTACCGGTGGGTAGTTTATTGCGTTTTGTTTGAAGTCGCGATCTAACTAAATTAAGCAGACATTAGAGACATAAATTATGTGAGTAAAGGATAACTTACCAAAGAATAGTACACAATGAAAAATAATAATTAATAAATACTCGTACCAATTACTAATGTTTAGGCACTGTGTCATAAAACAATTATAAACCACGTACATAAACAGCCAAAAACACATCCATTACATTTCCACCAAGCATTTACTTAATGCACCTATATATCTACAAGGCGTGTGAAGGCGTATTACGTCTATAATGATTATGTGTATGTATATTATGTATGCATTGATATGTCTACAGTGAAAACTATACATGTTTTCCTACCCGTTACAAAAGAACAGCTTGAGAACTTAGATGGACTGGTGGCTTGGTAAAACCCACTTTACTGTATAAGTCTTCTGGGAGCAAACGAGAAGTGGCGTGTTTATATCAATATATGTTTTAGGTAAAACGTTTGAAGAAGAAAAGGAACGTTTTTGTTCCTTTGTAACATATTAGGTCAATAATATAATGTCCTTCATGAACACTTAGCTAAATACTCTGGAATCCACTTGCAATCAAAACCCGAACTGTTACGCGATTTCATGTTTTGTATTCATGATCAGAAGCTGTAAAGTATTAATGACCTAACAGTATTAATGCGTGTCTGCGTTATAATTGTTAGGCTCTTTACCGTCTGACGTTCGATTCTTAAGCAGATACTAGTAAGATATCTTGTTGTGTATCTTCATCTGTTTACTGGAATGTTGGATCCAACTCGCCTTGATTTGGCGCTGGCTGCCGGTGTAGAAGAGGTCTACCATCTAGATGATATTATACATTGCGAGAAAAGTTCCTAATATCCGTTCGGTTTTTTTGTTTTCTTTTGTTTTCTTTTTTTGTGGGGAGAGGGTCAATATTTATATTCCTGTTGCATTTCAAAATAGATTCGATAAGTGACCTATACGAATAGAATTCTTCCCCAAGTAAACACTCATAATGCGCTCTTCTTCTCTTCACAGTCCAAACCACTGCTCCATCAAGGACCACAGCTCAGCCTGGTGAGTAAAGGAAATAAAAACAGAAATGAATGGCTAAAGACGTTGAAGAAAAATACAATTTCATTATAATTCCATACCGGTTTGCTAAACACTTTCTCCGGAGTCATATTTGCTGAACTATGGAACATTTTACATTGCTTTTTAGCTTTGAGCTGCTTACTAGAGAACCTCTACCATAGACATTCATGTTCTGTGTCTCATATTTGTATTTTGGTGTTCTTTAAAAACGTCGGTCCTGATGCTGGCAACTGATAGCCATTTCTGCCTGCCTACCAAGTTTTCTATTAGATTTACTAGTCCGGGGACGGATCGGGTAAACGTGTGGTCTAAAGGTAGGACGGTTATGAAAAGAAAATAAATATACAAAAACTACCCGAGGAAGACACTCTTACGGCATCGTGTAGTTATGTTAACCAGTTTGACTAGCTATCTGTCTGTCTGTCTATCTATCTATCTATCTATCTATCTATCTATCTATCTATCTATCTATCTATCTATCTATCGATCGATCTGTCTATCTATCTATCTATCTATCGATCGATCTGTCTATCTATCTATCTATCTATCGATTTGTCTATCTAGCTATCTATCTATCTATCTATCTATCTATCTATCCATCTATCTATCGATTTGTCTATCTAGCTATCTATCTATCTATCTATCGATCTGTCTATCTATCTATACCATCATCATCCTCAGGCGGAACTCTTCCCCCTGACCCCTGCAAGGACAAGATCTCAACTTGCGCCAATTACGGAAGTGACCTTTGCACTGGAACCTACAAAACATGGGCTAAAGTCAACTGCGAGAGATACTGTGGCATTTGCAGTCGTAAGTAAAACAACATGGAAATACGCCACCGACTCGCACTCCCCAAACGTTGATAATAATAGAGTAAGATCATTGTCCATGGAGGAAAATCTATGTTTAGCGAGTTGAATCTCTACGAAATCGGTAATGGACGGCCAATGTCACCCGAAAAACGTAATCAGGCATACTTTGTATGTTCGTGCGCAACGAACAACTTACACTGTTTAACGCATTGTCGATTTTATTCTTAATAGTTCCCAGTAAAACAAAACAAAAACGTGAACCATGTAAACCATGGTCCCTCTATCAGATACATTTAATGACCTGAACATTACTTTTGTCTGTGACAGCTCTCTACACCGTGGCCCCACCCACATGCAATGACGTCATCAACGACTGTGTGTCCTACGGAATTGCCTCGTGCTCCGGCTCCTACAGGCCCTATATGGAGAAAAACTGCAAACGATTCTGTGGTTATTGTGGTTAGTACATTAAAATCCTTATCAGTATTGTTAATGTTGTTATCATCTTCATCAATGCCAGTCGAAGCTCTAGTAGCAGCAGCAGCAGCAGTAGCAGCAACAGCAGCGGTAGCAGGAGTAATAACAGTCAGTGTAGTAGCAGCAGCAACATAGTCGCCCTTAGTCAGCAGTGTCACTATCATCATCAGTATGATAAAACATTTATTCGTAGTTTTCCCTACCTAATGTATTTGATTATTGAACTGTATCAACCAGAAAGGGCATTACACTTGGTAGGGAATTTTTTTTTTCCTTCAAACATATGCAATATACAGCAATAATGTATTCTTACTTTGAAAAATAGTTATCACCCCACCACTCCTAGTGTTTCTTTACCTTCTAATTTTACATTTTCCCTTGTGTAGTCTTCACAATATTTAGCTTCTTAAACTATTGTATACACAGTCTGGATTCATAATTATCTTATCTCGCTTCTCATTCACAGGTATTGATACCCAGTCACTTGGATTCTGTAAGTATTTTTTCTTTTCATTCTATTAAATACTTTTTCTCCCCTTACATTTAGTCCTAGCTGTGTTAAAATATGAGTAGACATATCTGTCTTCTATGCCATATTAGAGATGTGGTTGGTGGATGCTCTGGTGTGGTTTGCTCCTTCTTTCCTATCAAAATCTATCGTCCTTATCTCTCCTCTTTCTTTTTGTGTTCAGAACTCTCTTGTAACACCTCTAATCCTCGCACTTATATAACCAAATTGTGTTGCAAGAGCCGTAACACTCTTCTTGAAAAACTATGCCATATTGTTCAGTATCTACGCAAAAGTCGAACATCTATCTTCTCCTCTTATCACTCATGCATTCTTCACTTCTTTTTATTTTTTTTAAGTAAGAGGTTTATTCCACTTGCAAAAAGAAAGACAGAAGAAGCACGGGGTACAAAAAAGAAAAGAAGTAGGACCTAGCACCAGTGACCCCATCCAACTGCAGTACACAGATTTGGCTGTAATGAAACAAGTCTACAGTTTCTGTTTCTGTTCGTTCCATTCGCCAAGTAATAATAATAGCATTGCTGTGTTAGTGTTAAATCATGCAAACACCTAAACACTCAGCTAACAGATGCACATACGTAAAACAGACAAAGAGCTTAGTGTGTGCACTTGGCGCTCTAAAGCACGACTCAAACAAACGTTGCAGATGGATCGTGTGCGTACAAAGGCCAGACGTACTCTACTGGTGAGAAGTGGTCAGACGGCTGTGACTACGAGTGTGTCTGTGAGGACGGGAAGACTGGAAAGTACAGATGTTACAACAAGTAAGTCAGACGAATGACAGCAACCAGAGAAGTTTGAGTGTATGTGTTTGTGTGTGTGTGTGTGTGTGTGTGTGTGTGTGTGTGTGTGTGTGTGTGTGTGTGTGTGTGTGTGTGTGTGTGTGTGTGTGTGTGTGAATCCGGGGGAGGTACACTTGGGCGTGGCTTAAGGTTTCCCATTTCTAGAGAGAGAGAGAGAGAGAGAAGGGGGGAGAGGGCACACACACACACACACACACACACACACACACACACACACACACACACACACACACGTACACACACACTGTTAGACAAACAGATCAAATCAAATACGCAATCCAATGGTCAGCCAGATAGACGTGACCAAATCTTTGAATTTGAAAGAAATAATGTTTAAATAAGTGGGCGGCCTCCACCGTGGTAGACAAAGTACTGTAGCAGACTTTCACCCTTTTCAAATTTCTATTGAAAAATGTGTCTTGTGCTCTTTGGCAAATATCGTGCGTTTTGATCGCACGTGTAACAAGCATGACCTTTAGATACATTAGCTCATGCTGTCATTTGACAGCCGTTTGAAGACCTGAAACATTAACCCCCCCCCCCCCCGTTTCGACGTACTTGTGGTGTCTGTGGTGTACCGGTTAGGTGCCTGTAGAAGACTCGAATCCGGTTCCTGGGTGTGAAGAGATTTTTTTTGAGTATCTAGGTCTTTCTGCTGAGATATTGTATCCCTCTCAGCCTGTGTCAACACTGACAGGCATGGTGAAAGCTAGCCTCCCGGATGATCTAAAATGTATCCATTTTTTTCGAGAGGCAGGACGAGGGGGGGGGGGGGTAAAAGAAAACGCACCTGATAAAAAAACCCACCATATCTTCACCCTCCAATTGGTTCTTGCAGATGTCCCATCTATCACAACCTGCCGGCCGACTGTACTTTGGTCAAAGACCCGAGCTCTTGTTGCCTGCAGCCTCAGTGCAACTTTGACCAGACGGTGGGAACAACACAAGGAGCCAATAAGGGCTCGCGCAACGGAATTGGTAAGTCTCCGAAACCTGATATATTATTGTTCCGTTTTTATCAAAAGTTGCACGACACTTCCAGCAGAATCAGTTCCGAAGATTGGGGCTGTTACTAGATGGTAAAGTACAAATAAAAGAAGGAGAGATAATGACGATATATCTTTTATAGGGGAAGAAGGAGCAAACAACATCAAAGCAATCGAATCGCGAACCAGGAAACTATTTATTGTTCGTTGTATTTGCTCGAGTTCACCTTTTCAACAATCATAATTTCTTGGCCGAACGTTGTATTTCAGCAGACCATTTTTATGGATCCAAACAAAGGTTACTTGTAATTTGTATTAGGAGATTACAACTTTAAACCCAAATGCACCCTTTTCAAATTATTTATCTGATAAAACCTTTTAAGTTACGAACAAATTTTGTCATTTTAACTTCCAGATAAAAAATAATATGATTTATTAATATGTATAGCATATCTGGAAAAAAAGAGGAGAAGACAATGATAGGAACCTTTAAAAAAAGGTAAAGATAAAAAGATCAAATATAATTGAAAGCTTTACTAAAAAAAAAAAGTTAAGAAATAAAGAAATGTTCTTTGTTGGACAGACACCTGTGTTTACGGCGGCAAGAATTACTACCAGGACCAGCAGTGGCAGGACGGCTGCAACGCTCAGTGTGTCTGTGTAGACGCCAAGACTGGACGTCACGAGTGCCATGATCTGTGAGTTGTTGTCACTTATTCTGCTGCTGTCGTTCCTGTTGTTGTCTCAGTACCTGTTGCTGTTGCTTTTGCTGCTGTTCCTACTGTTGTTGCTTTTGTTGTGGTTGTCGCTGTCACTGTCACTGTCTCTGTCGCTGTTGCTGTTGCTGTCACTGTCACTGTCGCTGTCACTGTCGCTGTCACTGTCGCTGTCGCTGTTGCTGTCGCTGTTGCTCTCGCTGTTGCTGTCGCTGTTGTTGTCACTGTTGCTGTTGCAATTACTGTTGTTACGGTCGCCATTGCTGTCCCTCAAATTGTGCTATCATTGCCATCCTGATTTTTTTCGTTGTTTTAATTAACGTGCAGTTTTAATTAGTGTTCCCTCCTGAAACTATTCGAGGAGAAAATGCTGGGAAAGTGCTCAAGCTTCTATTTGATATATATATTCCTGAGAAAATAAAATCTTTCCGTAAGGTTTTTCTTTTTAGTGTTGAACTCAATTTTTAATCAACTTAACACTGGAACTAAGAAAAATAACTGAAAACAACTCACTCACTAATTTGACATTTTGGTTCTTATCCCACTGTCCAGTTTGTCCCATTTCAAGGTACGATATAAAATCGATCCACATCAGTAGCACTGGTTTATCTGTTTCGATTAAAATGAACACTTGTAAAAGTAGCAACGGTATATCTCATACAGATTAAAGCGTATCATCATAAAATGCCTCATCTGAAACAGACATCATCAATCATGGTTCCCCATTCATTTCTCCACTGGGACTCTAACAAAAATCTACATTATCATCCTGGTGTTTCCCCGTCACTCATCTTTTCAGGTTTGCCAAATACGTTATTTTTTGGTCTACTCCTGCCTCGTTTGCCTCCTGTTTTTCCAGTGATAACAAAATATTTATAACGTCTATTCAAGTATACACGATCAGATTTAATTTTCAGCCTAAATGCGAGTTCGTGATGTGACGTGCTGTTCTAATTTGCCTATCCAGGTGCCCCACATACACACGACTGCCCAGCTATTGTCGCCTGGAAAAAAAGACCGGTGCCTGTTGTCCCACTCCAGTTTGCGAATTCCAGAATCAACAGGGAACGTTCACCGGATTAGGAACCATCAGCTCTAACGGAATCGGTGAGCACGCACTCACGTTGGGATTTACTGGTTGAGTGGTTAGCAACTGCATTTGCGATGTAGCCATTAGGTTCTTCACCGTTGCACGTTGATGGTGCGAGTTTGATTCCCGTTAGGGGAATGTATTGTGTTAAATAATATTATATTCCATTTGTCTGCTGGGATTCTGTTTCTCATATAGCCTGGGCTGGTTCTGGCAGACAAAGTCGAAGCAGCCCGCCTTTTAAATGGTCGGAAATAATTATGTCAGCGAGCATGAAAAACGTTTCTATTAATTTCAATCGATCATAGAAATAATAAAATGTTATGCTAACTGTTAATGGAGGGGAAACTTGATGGTGTACTAAATCCCCATCGTATATAAACAACTAATATTTATTCATCATCAATTGATCATTCATTGCTTCCTTATGTTTTGGTCTTAGGTCAAACCCCAGCGACTCTCCCTCCTTGTGTGAACAAGCTAAACAACTGCCCTCTGTATGGTAAACCAGCCTGTACTCAGTACGCTCAGTGGGCCTTTGACAACTGCCGGGACTTCTGTGGACTTTGCGGTGAGTTTTTACTGCTGCAATATAAGAAGATAAGACCTGATTAAATTGCCGGTTTATCGCGTAAGGATTGGCCATACGCCATTTTTTAAAAATGTTTTTAGACAAGCAAAAAATAATCAACTAGTTTATTATCCAGTTTCTGTAATTCATCATGTTGTAGTATGGTGACTTCAAAATCAGTGATCGTAGAAGGCTTGTTATGTTTTTGACATGTGTCCGAAAGCGCAGTAATTGATAACATTTTTTTAAAAAGTGATTTCCACGAAAAGGTGGCTTTAGAAGGAATCTTACACTGAGCTATCGAACTATACTTATCTGACCCTCGATTGCAAGAATGTTACAGTGTTCACTTTGTTCATTGTCCAGCACAAGCTATACAATATGCCTATCGTGTCAACAAATCACATTCTCCTTCTATCACCTAGTCATTCCCTCCCTTATTATATTAGCCCCTGACATAACTCAGAGGACACATATTGATACAGCTTTCCTCCTTCTTTTCTCTGAATGTTTCTCTCTTTATTAACACATATAATATTCGGCCACCTTAAGTGTCCTATTGATGTTGTAAGTGCTGAATTTTTTTAAAACCAAGACCCTCACAAAAAGTAAGTGTACCGTGGGGTGGGGTTGAGGTTGGGGATTGTCAAGTCACTTCTCACAGATGTCTTTAAAAGTGTTTATTATCATCACATTTTGACACGTTATTTTGTTTTGGGGAAAAATACCTCGGATATGGACCGTTTTGGCAGGATGTTCTGAAATCCTTTTGCAATGCTTCTCAGCGTTACAAGCAGTGTTTTGGAATTTTTCTTTTTTCAATCTGACCAAAGCTATGAAACGCTTTTTACGAGACACCTGCTAATCAAATCAGTATCCTTTGCTATTACCCTTTCTTGTTCTTTGGTCACACTCTAGATTAAGACTTCAAGTAGTAAGCTTATATCAATGGAATGGGTCTTTTTATATTTGAAGTGTTTAAAAAATGACTCAAGCCTGTTTCTCATCACCCACAGGTACTGGACCTGCACCTGGACCAAACGGTAAGCTTATTTTTCTTATATATTTTCAAAACGTTGAATAAGTGGGACAAAATCATGAATCGATACCTTTTTTAAAATCGCCAGTGCCTGGGCGTTGTACTAGGCCTTTAGGCGTTATACCATCATAACCATAATCATTATTATTTATATTATTGTTCACATTTATGTTGTTGAATTATTATTGTTATCATTATATTATAGCGTTAATTAACATCACTGCATTGATATTGCTATTCTTCTTCTTCTTCTTCTTCTTCTTCTTCTTCTTCTTCTTCTTAGAATTGTAATAGTAATAGTATTAATTACGATGGTGATTGTATTATATATAATATTGGTAATGAAAGAAATATATTAATAATTACTATATCATAAAAAACACTTTATCATTATCTCCCATGAAAGAACCACATATTCTCTTGATGAAAACAACTTTCCCATTTACAACAGGGTTTTTTGCTTTGTTTTGTTTTTGTTGTTGTTGTTTGTTTGTTGTTGCTGTGTGTTTTCACATCCACACCGGTCACTCACTCACTCACTCACTCACTCACTCCTCTTCCTCCAGATAAGTGTCTCTACCAGGGAAGCCAGTACTCTCAAGGCCAGTCCTGGTTTGTTGGCTCCGACAAACAATGCACATGCGAAAATGCCGTATCTGGTTACTACAGATGCACCACTCTGTAAGTCTTCTCTATTTCTGCACAGGTGGTCTCATAGCCCACTTCGTGTCATGCTGAAACATTGTGCGTTAGGGATAGGTTTGAATCCCGTGATAGAATATTTACTTTTATAGGGGAAATCCGTGATGTGCTCACAGTATAGCTTTAGACCTATGCAATAAAGTGAAGTCTTGAACTTATTTAAGAAATTGTTCCGTTGACCTATACAGTCTTTACAAACACCAGTTAGAAACAGCAGCACCGAGACATTTGTTTGTATTAATGCATATATTTTATTAATGAAGAAACAATTGGTTGTCTTACTTAGGCTCAATGTATAAGACCAGCAATCGCACACTCGACCCAACGCATTTTCACGAATAACACTTACAATCACGCACAGCCAGACGCATACACACCGAGACAAAGTCACATGGTCAGCTCATATGCAAATGAGCTGGGTGGGTTCATTATTCGGTGCTGCTGACCTAACACCTATTAGTTAAGTGTTCTCTCCGACCTACACAGCGAAGTGTGCTCAAAATGAAACCTCAACTCTCACGCAGATGCCCCACATACACGAACCTGCCTCCCACCTGCACAGTAAAGACAGTGCCAGGCCAGGCGTGTGACGTAATCACGTGCCCGTCAGGAACCTTCATCTCCAGCTCCAACAACCTGGCTACTTTGGGAAATGGTGGGAATATCCAAAAAGACCCCGCCTCAGGATACGTTCCCCCCACCCTACCGTCTGGGGCCGCTGTTCCTCCTGGGACAGGCGGGTCTCCTGACAACGCTCCTAAACTCAGTGAGTTGGGTTTACAGTTGGTCGCTTTTAAGCACAAGGGGCTATCCCGGAAAATGCTGTTTTGAGAGAAAGAAAGGTAATGTTTTTGCCCCTTGTTCAGTTTCTCTAAAAGACAAGGAGAGTTTTTCTCTATAACCAAACAAATATACACACACATGAAATCAAACTTCTCCTATAGGTAGGGTAATGTCCACTTTTTGGAGTAGGTCAAGATTTTTTGAAAACCCCGAAATCTGGGTTAGCCTGATTGTCCTTAAAAGCGACCAGTTGTTGTTGTAGTTGTTGCTGTTGCTGCTTTTGGTGTTGTTATTGTTATTGTTATTGTATTTGTTATTAATGTAGTTGTCGTTGTTATTGTATTTGTTATTGTCTTGTCGTTGTTGTGGTCTTTGTTGTTTTGGTTATGACTGTTACCACTGGCGTAATTGTGGTTACGTTGCTGTTGTTGTTGTTGTCGTCGTTGTCGTAATTGTTTTTGCTATTGTAGTTGTCGTTGTTGTTGTTGTTGTTGCTGTTGTTGTTGTTGTTGTTGTTGTTGTTGCTGGTTTTATTCTTGTTTTTAATAGTGTAGCTGTGGTTATGGTTGTTTTTGTTGTTAGATGTCGGCGCAGGACTGACTAAGTGTGTCATGGCTCCCTATGCCAATCTGCACCATCGCCAAGTACTCAGCCTGTCTTCAATCTTCAAAAAGTCCATTGATGTCTTGGACATCCCCTGCGTCTCTTTCCCTGCACTCTTCCTGTCAACAGTGTTTTCAGTAACCTATCGACGCCAATTTTTGAGATCCTTTTAAGGATCCAATCAAATGAATATCAGGTCATTCCAACTGTTACGCCATCTTTCTTCAGAAAAAACAACAGTGAAAAGCTTCCGTCTTTTTAAACTTTTTGTTGATGTTTTTGCGCCACAATAGATACAATGTAGATCATTTTGGTGGCGGGCAAACACATATACTTACATGAACGCACATACATCCCCTGCACGCACACACACACACACACACACACACACACACACACACACACACACACACACTCACACATACAGGCACAGGTACACAGACCAGCCGTCTCGTATGTCTTCATCCCAGCTCTATTTCAATCCTCACCTGTTTGCGCTCAAATCCACAGATGGCTGCCTGTATAACGGCCAGTTGTATGTCAAGGGCCAGAGATGGAACGATGGCTGTAGCAAGTCTTGTGAATGTCTGGACGGTGCCACCGGAAGAACAAAATGCAGACAAAGGTAACTACAGCCGAACCTGCTCTATAAGATTGTTCATTGTTCATTGTTCAGGAAGCAACATCCCTTCACTCCGGACATGTTCATTGATGCTCCGTTGCTCTTTCCAAAATGTCGCCGAGGGTCTTTCCATTGATTGGATCTATAAGATAAAATAAGATAATGCTTTATTGTCCTAGAGGGGAATTTAAAGTAGTATCTTATCTTTTTAATCTTATAAACTATTGGTCACCTGTATAAGACAAGGACACAGCTACTTCCCATTTCTTCTTTTGCGTTTTATTTCTTTTACTTTTTCTTGACACTTTGTACGACGTCCACTTATCTAAAAGGGACATTTTTCTCCTTGACAATGCATTTCTGTATCTGTTAATTCCAGTCCTGGTTTGGATATATTTCAAGCTATAGTTTTACACTATATGTATGATTGAGTCTTTGGTTTGTTTTTCCTCTCAAGCTTTATTTTTTACACTTTGTGAAACCAGTGTTTTGTAATGGTTAGATTCGTCGCCGTTGCTCACAAAAGACGTGATATTTAAGATTTCTTCTTGTCAGGAAAGGCTAGTTTTTAAAGTTATCCCCCACTGGAGTGTAAGCTATGCTTGGCAAACATGCGCAGCTGTAATGCTGACAAGGCATGAAAATCTGCAAGATTCACAGCAGTAACAACTCTTGTAACACCTTCGAGTGGCCATTTTACATTTTGTCATGAAGAAAACGTTTTAAAAAGTACTGAATATTGACCACTACGTTCAATCATGAGTCTGTGAGATGTGTGTGACATATTAGTATAGTAGTTGTAGCAAACTCGTACTTAGTTAATAGTAGAGGGTTTTACGGCGCTTGCAACTGCATAAGGTCATATGAGCCCCAAAAACTCGTACTTGACCAGAATTCCAATCACAAAAAGGGCATGGCATTACTTGTACTTTATGTCGAGTTTGATTTCATTTTTCTCCAGATGCCCAGACTACGCCCAGGTGCCCGCAGGCTGCACTATGATCTCTGACCCTGATGACACGTGTTGCCATAAGCCAAAATGCAGTGACCCTAACGTGGTTCCAGTTCCTCATTTCAAGCCGTACACAACAACAAACACGCCAGTAGCCCCGCCCCCTAACAATGACAGGTGAGAGAGGTTTACGAAACACACACACACACACACATACACACACACACAGACACACAGAGAGAGAGAGAGAGAGAGAGAGAGAGAGAGAGAGAGAGAGAGAGAGAGAGAGAAATGGGGATAGAGATCATAAGAGGGTGAGAGAGAGATATAAGACAAAGAGACATAAGACACACACACACACACAGAGAGAGAGAGAGAGAGAGAGAGAGAGAGAGAGAGAGAGAGAGAGAGAGAGAGAGAAATGGGGATAGAGATCATAAGAGGGTGAGAGAGAGATATAAGACAAAGAGACATAAAACACAGAGAGAGAGAGAGAGAGAGAGAGAGAGAGAGAGAGAGATAGAGAGAGGGGGGGGGAGAGAAATGGGGATAGAGATAATAAGAGGGTGAGAGAGAGATATAAGACAAAGAGACATAAGACACACACACACACAGAGAGAGAGAGAGAGAGAGAGAGAGAGAGAGAGAGAGAGAGGGGGGGAGAGAGAAATGGGGATAGAGATCATAAGAGGATGAGAGAGAGATATAAGACAAAGAGACATAAGACACACAGAGAGAGAGAGAGAGAGAGAGAGAGAGAGAGAGAGAGAGAGAGAGAGAGAGAGAGAGAGAGAGAGAGAGGGGTGGGGAGAGAAGGGGGACGGGGCAGACAAACAGCAAACAGACAGACCGGCCGACAGACAGACAGACAGACAGACAGACAGACAGACAGACAGACAGACAGACAGACAGACAGACAGACAGACAGACAGACAGACAGGCAGACAGACAGACAGGCAGTTATGTACTTTACTTGCCCATGCGTATCTCTTGTTCCTGATGTTAATTATCCTTTCCCATTTCATCGGCCAACTGTTAGAATGTACAACATTTTGAAAATTAATGGGGTTTCTTAGTCTGATATATTGGTTTTATGTGCTCAGGAAATACTTTTTCGAAAAACTCATTTTCAATGTTGAAAATAATAAGAAAAAAGTACTTAAAATAGGTGACATTTTTAAAAGAATGAAACAGCTTTTTCTCTCTACTGTAAAGTTTTGCATTCCGGACGTATGATAATTTAACAGCTTGCCGACGATTTGCATATTGGCATGCTTAAAAAACAAGAAACACGACGACATACAAAAAGTTACAAAATCTTCAGAAACCTTCACAACTTGTCTCTGTAAACATGTTTTCACTTCCTCTCTTTTGGGGCATGTCATTAATCCAACTGTTGTTATGGTTTATGATTTAAAAACAAGAGCTGTTCCGCGGACTTTTAAAGGTTCTTAGCTAATTTGCCCAGCTCTGTGGGAGATGGACCTTTCAAGTCAAAGGCACAGCCCTTTATATAATCTTGCAGTGTTGAAAGAGGTATTAAACTCCGACAATTACCAACATCTTCTCAGATTCGTCGGAACCGGAGATCTGTTCGGACCTCACGGTGGAAAGTACACAGTGGTACAGACAGGCACCCCCATCCCTACCCCCGGAGTCGGAGTGTTCAGCACAGGAGGCATCGGTGAGTAAGCACTAAGGAATCTCTGCTTGTGAAGTCTCAGAACTCCACATAACGACCCTTGTTCAAGATCAAAACGCCCTGTCAGAGATTCAAACCACGGCCATCCGCACCGTAGCTCAACATGAAACTGACAGAGCTAACGGAACGCCCTATTTCTCTTAAATGGCACTATGGTGTTGAAAGATTTGTACTATTACACATCACCAATTACAGTCTGTTTGAACAAGCTTTTTTAATATAGTTTTTAGTGTTAGTAAGAGTTTTACGGCACCTGCAACACAATTAAGTCATATAAGTGCCAAAGACTGGGGGTTTTACTGGTTAGTATCATACAAATAACGGAAGGAGAAGAGATAAAGACAACAGATGTTTTAGGTAGAAAAGAAGGAGCAGACAACACCAGAGCTGCACCCGTCAACCACACACAACAAGCTTCCACTACGTTCCCTAAAACTGCCGTCTGGCATAATTATCGACAGGTCACTGCGAGTACAAAGGGAAGCAATACCTCCAGGGAGAGATCTGGGAGGACGGATGTGACTACAACTGTGTCTGTGATGACGCTAGCTTTGGACATTACACCTGCACACAGAAGTGAGTATAGCTAGAGAAGAGACTGTGGGTTCGATTCCAAAGTGCGTAATTTGTCTTTAGTCCTGTATCTCGATCTCTCTGTTGCGATAATGTATTCCATTCATCCTGGGTGGGTCCTGACTGGCAGAATCACAGCCTTCCTCCTCCTATACGACCAAAAATGGGTTGATAGGGGCATAAATCCTTGCAATTTTAAAGAACCATGTAAAGATGACTTTACAGACAAGTTTTGAATTATGTTGCATTACATCGACCCTATTCCCGGCGTTTTATCTTAGAGCTTACCTTGTCTTCGCAGTTGTTTTTCAATATACACCTCATCATATTATTATTTACCAATGCCGATAAGAGCGTTAAAATGTACAATCATTGCAACCATTATAATTATTACAGTCATAATAACCATTGGAATCGTTAAACAATCATTAGAATAATCACAATCCTTACTATAATTAGAATCTTTACAATCATTACAATAAATTTAGAACCATAACGATCATTACGATCATCTTAACAACCATTAGAACTACTACAAGCGTAACTAATCATTGCAATCATGAAAATTTTTACTACCCTGCCAGGTGTGTAATTTACACGAACATTCCATTCCCGTACTGCCGTTTGATCGAAGACCCGGGCAACAAGTGCTGTAAGATCCCAAGCTGTGTGTGGACAGCTCCTTACGAGCGAATCACTGACTACCTAGTTGTGAACCCAACAACACCAGCGATGGTGGCATCGTCGCTGCCCCCTACGCCAGCTTTCGGTATGTTGTATAATGATGATGATGATGATGATGATGATGATGATGATGATGATGATGATGATGATGATGATGATGATGATGATGATGATGATGATGATAAGAACTATGACAATGATGATGATGATAACAATAATAAAGTTTGCCTGGCACAGCGCTTTATAATCTCTATTAATACCCCAGTGGACCCTAGAACGCTCAGAAATATTCTCGGCTTCCATGGAAGCATACAGAAATAACTTCCTCTTGCTTTTTCTTTTCCTGTGTTTGTCTATAATGTTACCATGTTATGATTTAGTAGTGGAAAAGGGTCGGGGGCGATTACGAGGTGTTCATGCATTGCGTTTCTTGTAGAAGATGTTGTATCTCAGAACTGCTTGAAGGCACACAGTCAGCTTTTCCTATGCAGGATCAATAAAGTATTTTGTGTAATCTTATCTCATATTTTTCAACGCTATCTTATCATATCATATTTTATCTTTTTGTGTCTTCGATCACGCAGTCCATGAGGCATCGTGGTGAAATCAGGCGCTCGTCAAAATACTTAAATCCAAGAAACCGACTTTTTCTGCTGGTTAGGCAATTTTTTGTGAATTTGTTTTTTGGCTCAACTTTTTTTACGTCCGTTTAAAAGCACATTTCAGTGTGGATTTAACCGAAAAACGTTGATTTAAGGGGCAAAAACTCTAAATTTTTAGTTGTCAAGGACTCTCAAAATATGGAAGTCACCAAACTTTCGACAGTCATTTTCTCGCTAATTTTACCTCTGAACCAGATGACCCCATCCTCCTTCGATCGCAAATATCTCGACTTCTATTCAAGATAAAACTATATTTTATTTCATTCAAAGCAAGGCAAATAAACAGGCTTTAAGATGATACCAATAACTCCTTATGCCCAAAAATTGACGAGCGCCTGATTCCGCCGCGTTGTAACACATTATTGAAATTTTTTATTTTTTTTTTGGAAACACTTTCACTGTTCTCTACCATTTAGTTACTCAGGCACATTGTGTTCTCCAATATTTGTCTCACTTTCGCGCTCGCTCTCTCTCTCTCTTTCTCTCCCTCTCTCTCTCTCTCTCTCTCTCTCTCTCTCTCTCTCTCTCTCTCTCTCTCTCTCTCTCTCTCTCTCTCTCTCTCTCTCTCTCTCTCTGTCTGTCTGTCTGTCTCTGTGTGTGTGTGTGTGTGTGTGTGTGTGTGTGTGTGTGTGAGTGCGTGTGTGTGAGTGTGTGTGAGTGCGTGTGTGTGTGTGTGTGTGTGTGTGTGTGTGTGTGTGTGTGTATGTGTGTGTATGCATTTTATGTGCATGATATATATATAAATATTATATATATATATATATATAATACATATCTTTCCCGCACTCTCTCGTCCCCCCTTTCCCACTCTCCCATTCG